TGGATTCTAAAGCAACTATGGGCTGCAGGATGGATTCTGAATCAACTGCGGGGCTGGAAATGGCCGCATCATGTATTGATGTGGTGCATATTGTTAGAGGGGGTTGGGGCACATATAGGCGGTAATTAAGCATTGACTCAAGACATGGTGAAGGTGGCACCGGGTGGGGATCAGCTAGTGTGGGTCGGAATAGGGTAGGGATGTAGACATGTTATAGGGTTAATAGCATTTAGGGATAATGTGTTAGGCGTGGCCAGGACTAGAACTGAGTATAGGCCTGGGTGCGGTGTGGGGTATGTCTCAAGATAATGATAATAAAAGGAAAGAGAGCAAACTCAAACCCAGCGCTAACCTTGGCTGGCTTTTAGCCATTCTTGCCTGATTAGAATATTTGTTGTTTGTTGAATAAACCATCATTGTCCTAAAGAGGAGCTGGAGTTTGGATTCATTTAAAGACAAACCTTCGATACTCAAGGACTGGCTTGAAGGTTTGAAGGCCCTTGAGTTAGTAGGATGGTTGTTAAAGGAATTTGGCTTCCGCTCTGGCTTTGCTTGTCAGAAGGTCACAAAAGGGGATGACGTGACCCCGGAACGCTATGACCGTCATAAAGATGAACCGGTTGTCAGGCCTCTGAATGTAAATTACGTGCACAGGTACTCCTCGACTTACAACAGTTTGTTTAGTGACCATCTGAAGTTACAACGTCCCTAAGACCATTTTCCCACACTTATGACCTTTGCAGCATTCCCCAGGGTCACGTGATTTACTTTCGGATGCTTTGACAACTGAATCGCGTTTATGACGGTTTGCAGTATCCCGGGAGGGGGAGGGGGTGTCCCGCAATTCCCCCTTTGCGACTTTCTGAGAAGCAAAGTCAAAGGCGAAGCCCGATTCACTTCACAGCCGTGTTCCTGACTTTAACAACTGCCGTGATTCACTTAAGAAACGGGCCAAGAAAAAGTCGTAAAAATGGAGCAAAACTCAAACTTTAATTCTGACTTAGCAACAGAAATCTTCGGCTCAACTGTGGTTGAACGTCAAGGACTATTGTAGCTACTGTGTTTCTCCAAAAAAGAAGTCTGGGTCTTATTTTCTCTCCCCCCCACGCCCCCAAAAAACAACTGTGCTTCGCTGGCAGCAGGTATGGACAGCTGAGGTCTCGGAGAGCGAGGACTTGGACGAGGGGCGTGCATGTGATGCAGGGATGGGGCCAGGACCGTCAGGGAGTGGAATTCTGCCTTCGGAGATGGTGGAGGCTGGCAGCAGTGATGAAGAGTTTCCCGAGGAGCCTGTGCCCAGTGCGTGTGTCCGCAGGGCTGCTCGAATAAAAGAGCAGCGGCTGCAGCAGCATGGGCAACTCGGGAGTAAGGCTGCAAGATAATGGCTCCTCCCTCAAGAGATAAAAGCCAGCTGAGAAACCGGAGTTCTTTGCAGGAAGCAAAGAAGTTTTTGCACTCAAGCCTTGTGGATGTTCGGAATATCTTAGTTTGTGTTTGGAGACTCTTTGTGTTTGAAATATTTCTTGGCAACTTTGTCTAGTGTTCTTGGCAGCCTTGCACAACCTTGGCAAGGCTCGTTCTTATCAGAGACGATTAGTTTGAAACAGCCTTTTAACCGTGAAGGAACGGAATTCGTAAGGAATCATTAAAAGGTTTTGCTCTTACCTCTCTTTCGTGTTTGTTTCCTTGGAACAAGGTTTGGGACAGAATAAGGCTTTCTTTCTGAAGGGTTCTAATTATTAACTTACTTCGTGGTGGCGGCACTGACAGCCCTGCCCAGCAGGAGTCTGCTGCTGGCCCGCTTCTTCCGCGGCCACTTGCGGCCACTCGCACGCACCACCCCAGCCTCCGTTTTGCCTTTAGATGCCTGCCATCTGAAGGCGAAACGGAGGCTGAGGGCAATGCATGCGAGTGGCAGCAAGCGGCCACGGAAGGCGGCGAGGCAGGTGTCAGGGTGTGCGAGTCCAGGTAAGTAAGGCAACTCCAGCACCACCGCATCCCCAACCTTATTTTTTACCTGTGTACCTCACCCCACCCCCTGCACCCTGGAGTGGGGGGGGGTCTTAATTAGAGCTAATTTTGTGGGTGGAGCTTAAATCTGATCGCGTGAACTCAAAAACATGACAGGGCTCCTTTTCAAAACGGCTCATCTTTTTGGAGAAACACGGTAGGAGGGAGAAAGAGATGGTTCTGAATCCCGATGATTTCGCTAGATTTTTGTCAGTAGGTTCCAAAACGGGGCTGTTTCATTCTGAGTTCAGGGCTTTCTGTGTTTTGTTTGGGGCTCCGCCTTGTCGTTTCCTGTCCGATTACAGTCAAGAAGAGAACAACCCGTTCTGGGCTGGCAAGCTCCCTTTGCGCCCGCAGACAGCTACAAAGCTCCCTGGGGTTTGCAAATGTCTTGTCGACAATTCGTCCCCTCGTTCGCAAGGATCGCCGAACCCATGATGGACTTCCTAAAAAATGGGAGTCCAGGAATGAAACGGCACCCGGGACAAACCCCTACGGTGGGACCTAACCTGTCAAAAGGCATTTGAAACACTGAAAGGACTGTTTGCAAAAGACACACCAGTGCTGAAGCGTCCTGACCCCGAAAACTTTTGTCGTTCAAGCGGATGCCAGTGACGCAGCAGCAGTGGCAGCAGTGTTACTCCAAAGTAAAATAAAGAAAAGAAAAAGAGCTCCGCACACCTACCTCTTGTTCCGTTATCCCCGGCACCCTCTGCCTGAGCAAGAAATCCTCCGCCAGAGAGATGACTTGAGCGCTGCTCTCCACGTTATGTCTCTTGACCCAGCTCTGCATCTCCGGCGGGAGGATGGCCAGGAACTGCTCCAGAATCAGCATTTCCAGAATTTGTTCTTTTGAATGCCTCTCCACTTTCAGCCACTGATGGCAAAGGCTCTGCAACTGATCGTACACCTGCCTCGGCCCTTCGGCCTCTTGGTAGCAGAAACGCCGGAAGTGCTGCCGTTGCTTCTCCCGGCTCATCGCATCGGCGTGCAAGATGGCCGCCTTCATTTTCCCATAATCCTCTCTGTCCTCCGCCTCCAGGCTGCTGTAGGCTTGCTCGGCATCCCCTCCCAAAGTGGGCCGGAGACGGGCCGCCCATTCTTCCTTGGGCCACTGGAAAGCTCTGGCGACTTGCTCAAATGAGGCTAGGAAGATGTGAGCATCCTCCCACGGGGAAGGCTCCGGAAGCATCTGGGGGACTTCCACTGTGGTCAGGAACTCCTGCCACTGAGTCTCCCAGATTTCACCCAAATCCTCTTGATTTTCCACCTTCACTTCCTGATGAGTACTTGTGCTTCTGGAGAAGAGCACGGGTGCAAGGGGGGGCTGGCTCTCTCCTCCGGGATCCTGCTCTTGTCCCAGCATCATGGTGGCCTATGAACGCAAACACAGCTTGTCAATCCCACCCCTTAAAGGACAGGCGGTCCTCAGCTTAGGACCACAATCGAGCCCGCCATTTAAGTTGCTAAGCGAAACATTGGTCAAGAGCCGTGATGGTGCAGTGGTTAGAATGCAGTACTGCAGGCTACTTCCGCTGACTGCCGGCTGCCGGCAGTTTGGCAGTTCAAATCTCATCAGGACTCAAGGTTGACTCAGCCTTCCATCCTTCTGAGGTGGGTAAAATGAGGGCCCAGACCGTTGGGGGCCATACACTGACTCTGTAAATTGCTTACACAGGGCTGTAAAGCAGCGGGACACGGTATATAAGTCTAAGCGCTATCGTTATTTGGGTACTTGGCTCACATTTACAAAGGTTATATGATCACCATTTGGGACCTATAGTGTTTCCCCATAAATAAGACCTATCCCAAAAATAAGCCTTAGCTTGATTTTTGCTCAATATAAGCCCTATGTCCAAAATAAACCTTGGTTAATACCCCGCCCACTCCGCTGCACCTCGTTCCACAGGGTGGGGTGAGGCATATAGATGAAAATCAACCTAGGGTGGGGGAAACTATCCCATGTGCCCTGCACCCACCTACCTTAGAACAGTTGCAGCCAGGCCTCCCATAACCTGACACCTGCCTGACCTTGCCGGCCCACTTCTGCGGCCGCTTGCCACATTTCTCCCGGCCTCCATTTCACCACTAGAGGCCTTCGAGAAAGGCCTCTGCAGCTGAGAAACAAGCTCTGGATTGATGCGGATGGTGCCCCCGGCCTGAGTTTCCTCAGAGGCCTTGCCTGATGGCTTCTGACGGCAAATCGGAGGCGCATTAATCCGGAGCTTGTTTCTCAGCTGCAGAGGCCTTTCCTGAAGGCCTCTGGCAATGAAACAGAGGCCGGGGACGCTGCGCCTAAGCGGCAGCAAGCAGTTACAGAAGAAGTGGATCGGCAGAGGCCGCACAGACCTCCTGCTGGGCGGGGTTGTTGATGCTGCCGCCATGAGGTGAAACAATGGGAGACATCCCCTGACAATAAGACCGAAAGCCTTTTTTGGAAATAAAAAGAAAAAAAAAGACTGGGTCTTATTTTGGGGGTAGTTTGGAGGTATACATGTACATGGGGAGAAAAACAAATCTTGCGAGTTTACCAGACGGAGGGTCCAGGGAACAAAACTGTTCCAGAATCTGGTAGTCCTACTAGAAATACTTCAAAACCTCCTCTTGGGGGGAGCAACAGAAACAGACGGTGAAGTGGGTGTGAGCTCTAAGCTCATGTAGTGCTTATAAGCAGGAAGTAAGCTTCCTATAATCTTCTCGGCTGTCCTTACCACTCTCTGTAGGGACTTTCTGTCGGAGGCACGGCTACCACCAAACCAAAGTGATGTTAAAATGTTAAAATGCTCTCAACCGTGTCTCTGTAAAGAGGCCAGGGCAGAAGGACAGAGATGTACTCTTATCCGATGCAGGAAAACACAATCAGTTATGACGGCACTGAAAAAAATATTTTTCACACTTACGACCATTGCAGACTCCCCATGGTTACTTGATCAAAATTCAGATGCTTAGCAACTGGTTCATATTTATGACAGTTGCAGTGTCCTGGACTCTTTTTGTGACCTCCTGTCCACCAAAATTAATGGAGAAGACAGGTTCACTGAACAACCGGGTGACTAATTTAACAACTGCCATGATTCACTTAACAACTGTAGCAAGAAAGGTCATAAAACGGGGCAAAACTCACTTAACAAATGTCTTGCTTAGCAACAGATATCTGGGGCTGAATTGTGGTTGTACGTTAAGGGCTACCTATACAACCGTACAGCAATTTGATGCACAGAAAGTGATTTAACTTCCATCCATTCCAGCCAGCAAGCCTTGTAACCTGAAACAATAAGGGACTGGGTAACCCATAAGCCTTATACCACCCCATGGGGCCTCCAGTACCGGATTTCAGTAGTATAGTGATCCAATTTCAATGCTACAATTTTCTTCCTGAAATAATGGACACTAGAAATATTGATTGTGGTACTTCTTATCATTTTTTTTCCTCACATTTTACTGTAAATCAGCAAAAATACATTTAACATAGTCCTGAACTTACAGCTGGTCACTTGATAACTATTCAGAGTTGTTCAGAATATTGCAGAGTAAATTCAGTGCCAGAAAAGTAAACACAGTTGGCTGAGGCTTCATTTAACTTCTTTATAAATTGTAAATTTTACAGTTGTAGATTTCTCCAACATGGAGCAAACTCAAACAGAAGCAGGCATGTTACAGGTTCAGAGCAGAACAGCAACTCAGGAGCTCAGAAACGGACATCAGTTTCACTTTAGTTCAGCAGGCAAGCAAGACACACAGCAGACGAGAGAAGAAGTTTCATTCCAATAGACAGACTCAGAGCTTAATATAGCTTCAGAGCTGCAGAGCTTAATATAGAGCCACGCCTAGGCTCCTTCTAGTTTCAGTTTCCAAAGAGACCTCATTAGCGGACTTAGTTGCTATACTTATTCACTGGCTGACCTTGTTCCCAAGCTCAATTCCAGTTCATGAATATACTCTTGACAAGAGTTACGACAGACCTTCACAGGGCTACTTATGACTTGGTTTTGGGGTTACAAGGGCCACACACAAACACCCATACTTGTGTGATTGCAGTTTTGGCACTTGGCAACTGGCTCACCTTTGCAACTGCTTTGCCACGCCTGGTGGTCTCTTGTCCACAATTTGCAATTTATGACTGCAACAACTTTTGACTTTAATCTTGGGCTCTGTTAAAGTCATAAGTTGTCAGGGTAATGAAGATTTAATAGCTGACCAGCTGCTGTAATGTTGTAATATTGTAATGATGATGAAATGGTAGCAATGAGTCAGCAGGGTTATTTGACTGCTACCACTTTAAGAGGCTGTAATATGAGAGAGACCCAGTGAGGGTGTATCTCTCTCCATGTGTGCTTACATAGTGTAGCTGATTATCGATTGCTGTTTGTTCAAGGCCTGTATCAAAGTACTTGCATGCGTATATGCTTTTGTAGGGATAAAGCCATTATATGTAAATACAAACCTGTGTGCTGTATTTGCTCCTGGGTTGTCTCACCTAGTCACACTGTGTACACTCTGTGTACAACTGCCTGCAAGGGAGTCTGGAAGCAGATAGGTCCTATATCTCCCTATATCACAACACTGGTTTTAAGGATGGGCAGGAGAAACCTTTCAAAGATTTATTTACTTATATCCCGCCTTTTATTATTTTTTACGAATAACTCAAGGTGGCAAACGTATCCAACACAACTTCCTCCTTATATTTTCTCCACAAACAACTACCCTGTGAGGTGGCGTAAGGCTGAGAGAGTTACTAACCAAAAGTCACCCAGCTGGCTTTCGGATACTTCCAATAGTCCAAAATTAGCGCCTAAAACTAAAAATTTTTTTTAAAAAACCACACAAGAGCCTGTTTTATAGTATCTACAACTTGACTCGTAAGTTGCCACCAGAATGTGAATGTTAATATTCTAGAAACAAAAACATAGAGTTGACCTTGCTAAACTTTTGGGAAAGTTTTTTTTCCCCCACTCTTACCTTTATTCTCACTCCTGGTTACACCTTGGCTCCGTTTATAGGCTTAACCTCGCAGCTTTGAGAAGACACACAAGGCAAGTGGAATCTTAAAAAATATTGGCTGGTTTGACTAAAGAAAAGAAACAAAAAGAAACAAGGGAGCAGAGAAGGTATGAAAGACGTAAGCAAGCACTCCTCCCCATAAAATAATAAACTGCCTATTTATAATCAGAATAAGATAATAACTGGAAGGTATCAAAAAGGGGGACTGGGTCAGCAGTGGTATTCAGCTGGTTCGGACCTTTTCAGGTATACCGGGAGTGAAAATTTTGACTGATTCGGAGAACCGGCAAATAACACCTCTGGCAGGCCTGCCCACCCACCCATCCCCGGCTCTCACCTCTCCTATATTCTGTTGTTTATTAGCTCAGCTGATTCGCATGGCTGAGCGCTACAGTTGAACTAAAAACCAGCACAGCTCCCATGCTTGAAAACAGTGTTGATACAGAGCTGTGATGGTGAACTTTGTTGTTGTGGTGTGCTGAAAATGCATGTGCTGGCACCCACACTGCAATGTGCCCTGCCCCCTGCGCATACACATGAAAACTCCCACTCCTTGCTTGCACTGCGCATGCTTGCACCTCCCAGCTGATTTTTTTGAGGCCTTTTTCGGCCTCCCAGAAGCTCGAGGGAAGCCTCTGCAGCCTTTGAAGGCCAAAAAACGGGCCCGTTTTTTTTGGCCTCCAAATACCGGAAGTGACAAAACCAGAAGTATCAGAAGTGACAAAACAGGCCTGTTTTTCCAGCCCCCAAAGGCTGCAGAGGCTTCCCTCGAGCCTCTGGGAAGCCGAAAAAGGCCTCAAACGGGCTGAAAACCAGCTGGGAGGCATGCGCAGTGCAGGTAACTTTGGCTGGGGCTCGTGTGCCCGCACAAATGGGCCTGCGTGCCGCCTGTGGTGCGGCACGCATCTTTCCACGTGCACGTGCGACTCCCTCCTCGTGCACCGCGCATCTGCACATGCATGCACAATTCCATGCGCGCCATGCATCTTTGTGCCTGCGCGCACGACTCCCCCGCACACCACAGGTCTTCATGCATGCACACGACTCCCTCCTCGCACGCCACACATCTGAGTATGCGCGCACAATTTTTCCCACATGCCACGCATCTTTGCACATACACGCACAACTGCCTCCTTGCGATTTCTTCCGCGCATCCCCCTCCGCCCCTGCACATCGGATACCCTGTTTCTACTGATTCAGCTGACGTGCACTGCCACGCACACACAGTGGGCAGGGGTGGGATTCTACCAGTTTGCATCTATTCGCTAGAACCGGTTGTTAACATTCTAAGCAGCTCAGAGAACCGGTTGTTAGATGAAATTACTGGCCTAATCCTGTAAGGAAAGCAGGAAGGAAACATTCTGGTGTTGCTTAGAGAAACTGTCTCTCTGTTAACCCTTATTACATTCTTGGCAGGACTAGACTTGCTGTCTCAGGAACCTCTCTGGAGTTATTTTTTGCCTCCTTTCCTGGTATTCTGCTTATGTGGAGTGACCATTCAAAGTTACAATGGCACTGAAAAAAGTGACTTATGACCATTTTTCACACTTACGACTGTTGCAGCATCCCCACAGTCATGAGAGGCCAGACGAGGAGATGCGAGCCTCGATGTGAGTGATGTTGAGGTGGCCACACCCAGCCAATCCCATGACCACGAAGCCATGCCTATCAACTAAACCGCGCCCACAGAACCGGCTGTTAAAAAATTTGAATCCCACCCATGGCAGTGGGGCTTTTCCAGGCAACCTCTCGCCTGCCCGGGGGAGGGGAGGGGGGGAAGAGGGAAAATGTCCCTACATGCCACTTTCGGCAGGCGTGGCATAGGTTTCGCCAACACAGCCCTACACCATTTCAGACAAACGGTTGTGCAATCTCTTCTTAACAACTTAAAAGCTCCAAAACAGTGTTGGAGCAACAGTTCAACCACTTCCGGAGGCAAAGTTGTTTCCACCCATTCATTGTTCTAAAACTGTCAGGAAATTTGTCTTTTAATTGCTAGGTTGGTTTTCTCCTTGATTGGTTTCTTGTCCTGCCTTTGGGAGAACAGCTCGACTCCCCTCTTCTTCCAACGTTTAAGAGATTTATTGAGGAAGGCGGATCTAATTGAATCCGGACGGATCCCCCCCACCCCACACACGACACCTCCCGCCCGCGGCTGCTGCTTTGTTTCTAACCTCTCCCGGCAAGTCTCTCTCTAGGCAAGTCAAAAGTTCCTACTAAATAATAAACAGATTTTTCTTGCACACCTTAACTGCTACATCAACCGGGAGAGTCCCTCGCAAAAAGGGGGGGGGGAATCGCCTCCTGCGGACTCTTTCCCAGCTAAGGGAGCAAATCCTGGGGGATCTTTTGGGATCCAGCCGCTTGATTGCTCTGCAAAAAAATCCACCACCCCCAAAGGAGAGATGGTAGGTGGGGGGGAGGTGAGATACCCCCCCACCTCTCTTTTTTTTTTTTTAACCTGCAGCCCGCGGCAGTTTGCTGCACACGCCTCTTTTCTCTCGGCCAGACCTCGAGCCTGCGCCCTCCTTTCTCCGCCACTCACCCTTTTTCGCACCGCCGCTTCCCCGCTTCGGAGCACGAGAGAGCCCGGAGGAGCTTCCAACCCACCGCGCGGGGTGTAGGGGGGGGGGGAAATGCCCCGTTAAAGAACCCAGGCCGGAAGTCCACCACTTGGGACCCCCCCCAACACACACACACGCACACATACGCTCCTCACCCTCAACTCTATGGTCTCCGGCGGGAGCCCCCTCTAGGATGCTGCAGCTCTGTCGATTCTATCAGCGAGCCGGGGTCTCTCTGGACAAGCAGAAATACATCTTTTTTTTTTTTTCCTTAGGAGCAAAGGAGGACAAAAGGCCTCTCCGAACACCCCACCCCACCCCAAAAAACCTCTCCCCCCCAAAAAAGAGACGATCAGAAAGATCTAACCGGCAGTGGGCTAGATGGGACGTATCTCCTTTTTTGCCTTAAAAAAAAAACCCACAAACGATTGCAAAGGATGTAAAACGTTGCAGTCCGCTTCCTAGACTGGCTCCTCCCCCCGGAAATGGGCTTTTGTGTGTGTGGGAGGGAGGAAGCGTGGAGTTTGGGAGGTCGGGAAGCACATCTAGCTCCCAGCGGGGTTTCTCTAATTTTTTTTTTTAAATTATTTTTAAATCACAATTGCAAACAGCCGGAAGGAAGAAAAGAGCTGATGCAACGTGTGGAAGCAGAAACCAAGGTTTACAGGACGCTCGGATGCCTTTGTAGTGCAAAGTGGGGGGAAAAATTGGAAAAAGGAGGCAGGTAAACTTGATTTTTCATCCTATTACACGATTATCACATGTGTATTGTTTGTACATTGTAATACAGAGTATATATGACACACGTGAATATAACACCCTGCAGTAATGCTATACATTAAATATACACCTTATTTATCATCATTGTTCTTAGTGTTATTGATTCCTGTGCATCTAGTGAACGCTTAGCTCCATTCAGTTGCGCTGATTCCACCCCATGCAAGGGATTAAGGCTAGGGATCTTCAAACTTGACAGCTTTAAGACTTGTAGACTTCAACTCCCAGAATCCCTGAGCTAACATGACTGGAGGAGGAATTCTGGGAGTTGAAGTCCACAAAGCTGTCAAGTTTGAAGACCCCTGTTTGTCTACAAGGTTGATCCCCTCTTCTCTGTGACAGTCCCTCAGATGTTAGAAAACTGCTATCATATCAGTCCTGCTCTTCATTAGACTGGACGAAGGGTCTTCAAACTTGGCAAGTTTCAGACTTGTGGACTTCAACTCCCAGAATTCCTGAGCTAACATGGCTGGAGGAGGAATTCTGGGAGTTCAAAGTCCACAAGTCTGAAAGCTGTCGAATTTGAAGAGCCCTGGATTAAAGGGTCATTAAAAGACTAAAAAAATAATAATTCCTGTGCATCTATATAGCCCTTTGCTTCAGGGGCTCAAGGTGGCATAAATAGAAAACTCCAATTTATCACCCAACAACAATTTTGTGAGGTAGGGCAGAAAGAGAGTATCCTCCCTCAGTTGTATTATTGGAAGAATGTGATCTTTCTTCTCAAGAGAGGGAATAAAGAAGAATATTTGGAGGTCAGGGTTGAAATGAGGGGTTCTTGATGCTCTCTGAGCTTGGTTTCCTTCCTTACAGACGTTTCATTACCTGATGAGGTAACATCATCGGTGTTAAGAGATAGCTTGGTTTGTCACTTTATATATTTATTAGATTTATTTGCTACCCATCTCATTTTGAAACAACTTCGGCAGGCTTACGGTATTAAAATAATAAAAGATAAAATATTTCCAAAGGGGAATCCCAATCAAAGATAAAATTACAGTTAAAAGATGGATGAAGAAAGGAGCAGGAATGCAGAGCGGAGGTAGGATTGCCTCTTAAGTTAATCAACCACCCCTGGTGTGGTGCTCTATTATTAAACATTAATATTTGCAATATTTCTAGCTTTTTATTTTTATTCAATCAGGCGAGATTAAAAAAACCCAGCAGCCTGAAGCCACCCAGCGTTTCCTCTGGCTGATTTGCAAATTCCTTTTGTGTCTTTAGCTTTTCTTCCTTGACCGACAAGGATCCACAAAACCTGAGGAATTGCCCTTGAATGCCAGCATAGTTGCAACAGTTTGGATCCCGGGGGCAGGTTCTGGATCGTCGGGCTGGGTGGAGCTTTTGCCTGGAGACCGTCTGAAAAGTACAATGGAAGAGCGGGATCTGAGGGATCCCCCACCAAAGAAAGACCCTCGCGGAGAGGAACCCCTGCCCCAAGGGACGGGCAGAGAGATCAAGCAGGAACCGGATGAGGGATCCCTTCAGCAGTGGGAAGCTCAATGGCGGGAATTCCTGAAGACGGTGGAGACTCCATGTCCGGGGAGCTCTAAGCCACCCGTGGATCCGTGGGAAAACAGTTTGGCCTTCCTGGACTCCTTTGAGCAGGTGGCCCAGGCCTGTCGGTGGCCCAAGGAGGAATGGGTACCCCAGCTCCAGCCAGCCTTGAGCGGAGAGGCCCAGCAGGCCTTTCTGAACCTGGGCGGGTGCAGCAAGGGGGATTATGGGAAAGTGAAGGCAGCCATTTTGCAAAGGGAAGCCCAGCGACGGGAGGAACAGCGTCAACATTTCCGGCGCTTCCGTTACCAGGAAGCTGAAGGGCCCCGAGGGGCTTACAGCCGACTCCAGGAACATTGCCGGCGGTGGCTGAAGGCGGACATGTCCACCAAAGAGCAGATCGTGGAGCTGCTGATCCTAGAGCAGTTCCTGGCCATCCTGCCGCCGGAGATGCAGCGCTGGGTCCGGGCGTGTGGCCCAGACAACTGCTCCCAGGCAGTGGTGTTGGTCGAAGACTTCCTTGGGAAGAAGGAAGAGCTCAGCCTGTGGAAACACCACCCAGGGGTATTTCAGTGGTCCTTTCTTATGAAGTGTGAGGAGTATTGATGGCATGGTTGCATTCTTGGTCCTTGTCCAACTCATTTTTCATTGCCCCTCACCTTGATCTATTTATCACCCGTGCAATTGCAGCTAGGACGTGTGTACCAACGAGAATTAGGATCAGTAAGGGAGAAGATTTGTAGCTCCCGGTTGACCTGCAGAGTCCTTGGTGCTCCCTGTCCCTGGGTGGTGTTTCTTGCAGACCTTCATCACCCAACTAGATGATGTCATCGGGGCTAATGATGTTATCTAGCAGTGGCGATGTCCCCTCGTTGGAGTGAGGAAAGATCGGCAAGAAAGTAACCAAGCTCAAGAGAGCACCGAGGACCTCTTGGGCTGTGACGGGATCGTGCAGTGTGACATCACATAGCGATTGTGACTGCCCGGTGGCCATTATTAGGTGGATACCACAAGGTCGTAGGGGTCCCATGGTTGCGTAGTCGCCATTTGCAACCAATGGAATAGGAATCGAGGAAAGGAGAGGAGACTAAAGAGAGAATCAAATAGAATAAGAATAGAAATAGAATAGGAATAGGAATGGAATGCAATAGAATAGATGGAATGGAATAGGAATAGGAATAGGAGTGAAGTGGAATGGAATTCTTTATTGGCCAAGTGTGATTGGACAGAGAAGGAATTTGTCTTGGTGCAAATGCTTGGTACATAAAAGAAAAGATACATTTGTCAATTAGGATTAGAATTAGAAAACAGAGTTGGAAGTGACCTTGAAGGTCTGCTAGTCCAACCTCCTGCTTAGGCAGGAAAAACTATACCATTTCAGACATCTTTTAAAAAACTTCCTGTGTTGAAGCATTGACAACTTCTGGAGGCAAATTGTTCCACTGATTAATTGTTCCAACTGTCAGGAAATTTCCTCCTTAGTTCTAAGTTGCTTCTCTCCTTGATTACTTTCCACCCATGGCTTCTTCTCCTGCCCTCAGGGGGCTTTGGAGAATAGCTTTGACTCCCTCTTCTTTGGGGCAGCCCCTGAGATAACTGGAAGACTGCTATCATGTCACCCCTAGCCTTAACTAGACCTAGGGTCTCCAAATGTGGCAACTTTAAGATTTGTGGGCTTCAACTCCCAGAATTCCTCAGCTAAGTCATGCTGTCCAGGCAATTCTGGGAGTTGAAGTCCACAAGTCTTAAAGTTGCCAAGTTTGGAGACTCCTCAAGTAGACCTACCCAATTCCAGCTACCGTTTTTTGTATCTTTTAACCTCCGGTCCCCAACGTATGTTGGCTTCCTTTAGAGCAGAGACACCAGCATATCAAGCAAGACTTTTTATAAGGAGAGATTTTTAAGAAAATGCCTTGAAATAGAAGTTGGGCCACCTGCACCCAATTCCCCCACCACCACCACCAATCTGTAGGCCCTAGCTGGCTTTCACTTCAGGTTCAGCAACTGTCAGCTGAAAACCCACCTTCAAGGCCACTGAGCATTCAAAATATCTCTTCTGCTCTGGCTTCCACCCTGTCCCGCAGCTAGGCATTTTTTTCAAGCCAGAAGAAAGCAGAAATCCATCCATGGAACATTCATGATATTTGTTCTACTGTGGCTGGAACGCAGCAGGGAGCGACCTTAGGAAAATCATCCTGGGAAAGGCCTATCACTATCTCCCAGAACAGGGTTCCCCCAAACTTGGCAACTTTTAAGACTTGTGGACTTCAACTCCCAAGAACTGGCTGAGGAATTCTGGATGTTGAAGTCCACAAGGCTTAAAGTTGCCAAGTTTGGAGACCTCTGCCCCAGAAGAACAGCCATGGAGAGCGGTCCAGAATGCAACCCTTGGTTGTATAAACAGAAGCATAGAATCAAAATCACACGAAGTATTAGTTCCACTTTATAAGTAAAGCCACCCCTGAAATATTGCATCTGGTTTTGGTCCTAACCGTTGCAAAAGAGACCTTGGAAAAAGTGCAGAAAAGAACAATTAGGATGATTAAAAAGGCCCGGAGAATATAAAACACTTAAGGAACAGTTACAGGACTTGGGTTTGGGCTATTCTAGAGAAAAGAAGAATTAGGGGTGACATGATAACAGTGTTCCGGTATTTGAGAGGCTATCACAAAAAAGACGGGGGTCAACTTATTCTCCAAAGCACTGAAGAAGAGAAACAAGGGATGGAAAATGATCAAAAAAGAGAAGCAACCTGGAATTAAGGAGGCACTGTCCTCACAGTGAGGACAATTAACCTGTGGAACAGCTTGCCACCAGAAGTTGTGGTTGCTTCATCACTGGAGGTTTTGAAGAAGAGACTGGACAGTCCCTTGCCTGGAATGGAACAGGAGGTTCTCGTGCTTGAGCCATGGGTTGGATTAGAAGATCTTCCTTCCAGCTCTATCCTGTTCCAGAATTCTGGAATGGGAAGGAGACCCCCTCAGAGGAGTCAATTATTAAGTCAATTCAGAGGAGCTTCAACATTAAGAAACAAGAAAACGAGGAGATAGGACAGCCTTCTTCCTCCTTTCCCCCCATTGAAAATGGTCCCTCTCTGCCCTTCTTCTTCTTGTTAGTTGCAAAGTTGTGCCCAACCCATCGCGACCCCATGGACAACGTTCCTCCAGGAACCTTCCTGTCCTCTACCATCTTCTGGAGTCCATTTAAGCTCACGCCGACTGCTTCACTGACTCCATCCAGCCACCTCATTCTCTGCCGACCCCTTCTTCTTTGGCCCTCAATCGTTCCCCAGTATGAGGCTCTTCTCCAGTGAGTCCTTCCTTCTCACGAGGTGGCCAAAGTCTTTTGAGTTTCATCTTCAGGATCTGCCCTTCAAAAGAGCAGTCAGGGTTGGCCTCCTCCAGGACTAACCGGTTTAATCGCCTTTGCAGTCCAAGGGACGCGTAGGCGTCGTCTCCAGCACCAGAGTACAAAGGCCTCCGTTCTTTGGCGCTCAGCCTTCCTTATGGTCCAGCTTTCTCAGCCATACCTTGTAACTGAAAAAAAAACACATATCCTTGACGATATGCACTTTTGTTGGCAGGGTGATATCTCTGCTTTTTAGTATGCTGTCTAGATCTGCCATAGCTTTCCTCCCCAGGAGCAAAAGCATCTTAATTTCTTGGCTGAAGTCCCCATCTGCGGTGACCTTGGAGCCCAGGAAAATAAAATCTCTGTCACTCCCTCCATGTCTTCCCCATCTATTTGCCAGGAATTGAGTGGGCCGGATGCCATGATCTTAGTTTTCTTTATGTTGGGTTTCAAGCCAACTTTTGCACTCTCCTCCTTCACCTGCATCAAAGAGGCTCTTTGGTTCCTCTTCATTTTCTGCCATTTAGAGTCGTTTTTAGAGCTTCCAGCTCTATTCTGATTCAAATGACTCCGATTCAGCCCTCGGATTCAGATATGAGAAAGGGGCATCAGGCGCTTCCCCGCTTTTGGCCACCGGAGGGCGAAGGTTTTGGCTGGTTTTCCAGAGGAGGCTAGGGAGGGAGGGCCTTGCCACTTTTCTAGCACTCGCTCTCCTTAACCCTTGGAGCTCCGCCGGGCGTGAAAAGGCTGCAGGAGAGACTTGCCGGGGAGAGATCCGGAAGTGAGGGCAGGGCGGGTTGCGAGGGCTCTTCCCCTGCAAAGAGAGCCCGAGGAGGGAGAGAGATACGTGCCCGGCCCTCCACCGGGTTCAATCCCGGGTCGCACGCATGATGGAGGAAACCACCACCGGGCGCTCAAAAATCCAACCCTGGAACTTCAGGAGCCTCCGTTACCAGGAGGCCGAGGGTCCCCGAGGACTTTGCAACCGACTCCATGACTTTTGTAGGCGATGGCTGAGACCAGAAAAGCACACGAAAGCTCAGATGCTGGACCTGGTGGTTCTGGAGCAGCTCCTGGTCCTTCTGCCCCCCGAGATGGAGAGCCGGGTGCGGGAGTGTGGAGCAGAGACCAGCTCCCAGGCGGTGGCTTTGCTGGAAGGCTTCCTCCTGAGCCAGGCGGAGGAGCCGCCGAAGGAGCAGGTCCAGCCACAGGTGAGGCACTTTAGTCTAGGGAGCTCAGACATGTGTTGGCATGCTTCACCTCTCCTTCCCAAACTTCTCTGGCCTTCATAAGGGGAGATCTCCCACGAATTCTTGTGGGACATTGTTCCATTGTTTTTTTCACTCAACCTCAGTGATGGATATTGGGGGCTTTGAGGTTGTGTTCCGAATATAATACTCCACTTTATTAATAGAATAGAATAGAAATAGAATAGGAAAATAAAATAAATAGAATAGAATAAAAATAAAATGGGAATAGGAATAGAATAGAAATTAGAACAGAATAGAATAGAAATAGAATAGAATAAAAATAAAATAGGAATAGAATAAGAATAGGAATAGAATAGAATAAGGAATAGAAATAGAAATAGAAAAGAAATTAGAATAGAAATAGAATAGTAAAGAAATTAGAATAGAACAGAAGAGAATAGAATACAATGTAAATAGAATAGGAAAAGAAAATAAATAGAGTAGAATAAAAATACAATGGGAATAAGAATAGAATAAGGAATAGAATTGAAATAGAAAAGAAATTAGAATAGAAATAGAATAGAAAAATTAGAATAGAACAGAACAGAATAAAAATAAAATAGGAATAGAATAGATTAAGGAATAGGAATAGAATAGAATAGAAATTAGAACAGAATAGAATAGAACAAACAGAGTTGGAAGGGACTTTGGAGGTCTTCTAGTCCAACCCCCTGCCTAGGCAGGAAACCCTACACCACTTCAGACAAATGGTTGTCCAACATCTTTTTAAAAATTTCCAGTGTTGGAGCATCATGTGATGTTCATTAATCCTGGCAAATCTAGACAGCACATTAAAAAGCAGAGACATCACCCTGCCAACAAAAGTGCGTCTAGTCAAAGCTACGGTTTTCCCAGTGGCGAGGTATGGCTGAGAAAGCTGGACCATAAGGAAAGTTGAGCGCCGAAGAACGGAGGCCTTTGAACTCTGGTGCTGGAGACGACTCCTACGAGTCCCTTGGACTCCAAAGGCGATCAAACCGGTCAGTCCTAGAGGAGATCAATCCCTGACTGCTCTTTCGAAGGCCAGATCCTGAAGATGAAACTCAACTGCTTTGGCCACCGAATGAGAAGGAAGGACTCACTGGAGAAGAGCCTCATGCTGGGAACGATGGAGGGCCAAAGAAGAAGAAGGAGACGGCAGAGAATGAGGTGGCTGGAAGCAGTCAGCGTGAGCTTAAATGGACTCCAGAAGATGGTAGAGGACAGGAAGGCCTGGAGGAACGTTGTCCGTGGGGTCGCGATGGGTCGGACACGACTTCGCAACTAACAACAACAAAACATTAATTCTGCTTCTTTTTCCCTTTCTCCTATTTGAAGGGCTGCACTGTGGAGATCAGAGATCTTGAGGGAAAGAAGAATCCATCCAATCCCCCCGGGGAACTATTTTTCAGGAAGATCCCTTGGGAAGATCCAAGTCGGGACCCCTCAGGAGGTAATTGAAGATCCTCCAATGACCCATCTGTCTTTATCTTTGCTGTCTCTTCTCTTCTATAGAATACCTCCTCATTTTGCTAATCATGCATTTTTAAATCATTTATTCCTTACAGAAATACAAAGAGTGAAGTTTTCTGGTTTTCCTGATGGAGCTCAAACAGTGGTTGAACCTCCAAATCAAGTAAGAAAGGGAAAACTTATTAGATTTCTTATTCTCCCTTCAGGAATTTCAGGAAATCTGCAGAGTGATCTCTCCTTCTACTTCCCCCTACCCTCTTTCGTTTGGACTGGGTTACTTTTGTGTTCCTGACTGACATAGAAAACAGAATAGCGCATTCAAGTTACTTTCAACCAGCATAGCTCCCTCTGTAAAATATTACTGGGACACACAATGGTTTGTCATTTCTATCCTCAGATTCTGTTTAGGAAATGTTTTTTTTTTAAAAATAACTGGTTCTGCTAGGTCTGTGATGGCGAGCCTATGGCACGCGTGCCACAAGTGGCATGCAGAGCCATTTGTGTGGGCACATGAGCCCCAGGCAAACTTACCTCACTGTGCATGTGCGCGCCTCCCAGCTGATTTTCGACCTGTTTGAGGCCTTTTTCGGCCTCCCAGAGGCTCGAGGGAAGCCTCTGGAGCCTTTGCAGGCTGAAAACCAGGCCCGTTTTGTCACTTCCTGTATTTCTGGAAATACCAGAAGTGACAAAACGAGCCCATTTTTTTCGGCCTGCAAAGACTGCAGAGGCTTCCCTCGACCCTCTGGGAGGCCGAAAAAGACCTCAAATGGGCTGAAAATCAGCTGAGAGGTACGATGCAGGTAAGGGGGCGGCAGTGGGGAATTGCTTGCACATGTGCAGGGGGTGGAGTGGGGGCGCACGCCTTACCTTCCACGTATTGGCACACAGTTTTTGGCACAGGAGCCCCAAAAGGTTAGCCATCACTGTGCTAGGTATTTCTCCAATGGTGAGTTTACAAGAAGTAATTTTTTAACAAGTCCTTCAAGAAATAGGAATAAACATATCACTGGTGGTAACTACTAGAGGCCCGTTCTATTTGTAATTCATTGACTTGGAATTCTGCAAGGCTAATGAAAAAGAGCTAAATGCTCACTTTGCCACATTACCGTTTTTTAAAAATGTTTATCACATCTAGCTCGAAAAATAAGCAAATCATAATAAAAAAATAAAGCAGACTATTCAAATCCAAAAAGAGTAGCCATGTAGAGCACGTAATCAAGGTACTTTGGGCTACCAAATAATTTCGCATCCTCTGCTTTGCATCTGGATTAGGAGATCAAAACATTCTCGCTTTGCAAACGGTGAGAAACGACCTTCGCAGAGAATTTTCTTTTCTTTTGATTTCTTCCATTCAGCCAGTGGCTCAGGCTACTAGAATCAATCAATGATAGACCGAGCGATAGATCAGTTGATCCAGTAATGGGATTACTTTACTGAAAGGCACTGAACGTTCTGCAGAATCAAGCCACTTGATAAAACCTGCCCCAAATATTTCTTCAGTCAAAATAAATGTCCAGAATTGTCCATTTTCCCATCTAAAATTAAGCCTTTTGTGAAGCACAGCCATTTAACTTAGTGCATATCTTTGTTTTGAGGATTTGGGAACAATGGAACAGAATACCAGAGTCGGTTGGGATCTTGGAGGTCTTCTAGTCCAACCCCCTGCTCAGACAGGAAGCTCTATAACATTTCAGATAAATAGCTGTCCAATTTCTTCTTAAACACCTGCAGTGTTGGCGCATCCGCAACTTGTGGAGGCAAGTCATTCCACTGATTAATTGTCAGGAAATTTCTATTTAGTTGTAGGTTGGTCCTCTCCTTCAATACTTTCCATCTATTGCTTCTTGGTACACTGCTATCATGTCACCCCCAGTCCTTCTTTTCATTAAACCAGACATATCCAATTCCAGCAACTGTTCTTTAGCCTCCAGTCCCCTAATCCAGGGATTCCCAACCACTGGGCCCCGGACCAGTACCGGTCCGTGGATCATTTTGTACCGGGCCGCAAAGAAAAAGCCTACTTTGCTTGGGCGCCGCCATCTTGTTTCGGCGGCACTTGAGAAAGTGCTTCCGGGTGAGCTTGTCGGTCATCAGTTGGAAAGC